GAAAAACGCGAATAACGAGAGAGAGAAACAGTAGAGCACTAGCGTATACTTGGAGAGAAAGTAGTCTTTTAACAAAAAAGGGTAAAATAGTCTTTTCAAATGGCTTTTAACAAAAAAGTGGGTATGGGTGCAAACAGAAAGACAAAGCGGGTACAGGTTAAAAGGGGGCGCCCAAATAGCGCGCCCCGTGCAATTTTTACAGAATTAAGTCGTCCCATGGCCCGGAGATCCAACCAAAACAGGTCAACTTTAAAATAAAGAATTTTTACCTCCTATACCAAAGGTTGATACCTTATTTATTTTAAATAAATACCCTTTTAAAAAATTATATTCCATAACTACCTTTTGATTTTTATAGCCAAATATCTATTTATGGTCGCCTCCTACCGTTAAGCCATAAAATACGCTTTGTATTATTTTTCTCTCTCATTCTTTCAGATTTTTCTCCACCCTCTCTCTCTCTTAACTCCAGTCTTTCTCCATAAACATTTCTCTTGTTTTAACGAATCAGATCTCATGGCCTACCGAGGAAGATAAGTAGTCTGTAGTAGTCTTGAGGCGGGCGCGTTGACAGAAGGACAATCAAATTGTTTCTATTCAAGCCATAAATCCATAAATCCTCTTTCTCTCGTTTCTAAATATATTATGGCTTGTTTTAACGAATCAGATCTCATGGCCTACTTCGGATACCAGCTTGGCAGAAGGACGCGTTGACATATTTTTTTTTTTATAATTTATGCTCGTCGGAGCCGGCGACGGAGATTCATCTCCATTGTCTCGCGAAATTTTCATTGTCAGTGGGCTGGGGCTCTGAATCAATGTCGAAATTCAAGCCCTAGAGAGAAAGATCCACCCATTCTGATGGCCGTTGCTTAGCAATGAAATCTGGACATGGCCACTGCAACTCTTGCCTCTCACCACCTCCATTGCTGCTTTTCTTCATCTACCAAATTCGCAATTACTAACAAAAGAAGACAATCTGCTATAGAAAATAAGGAATTTCTTTCGTTTGCGCCAAATTTTGAGAGTTTCGAGTCAGAATTGCGACCCTCTTGACGAGACGACATTAGGGTTGTTCTTGAACAAAAACGACGGAGTTTGGGGCTGAGCAACTTGAAGAGTCTGTTACCTTTTATTTCATTGTATTTCAATGTATCTCGCTGTATTCTATGTATTTCATTGTATTCATTGTCTTTTTTTTCATGGTAATTCAATGTATCCCGCTGTATTCCATGTATTTCATTATATTTACTGTCTCGCTATATTCCATGAATGTATTAATATATTTTTTTTAATTAATATAAATTTATGTATTCAGATGTATATATGTATTCAAATGTATCTGCAGTATGTATTCATGTATTTTTGCACTATAGATGACCTGCTATACTTCATGTATTTAACTGTATTCAATGTAATTATATAATTTCTCTGAAGATTGCTATATTTTTGTGGTGTTTTTAGATTGAGAATCTTTTTTTTATAACTAGAAATACAAATTTTGTGTGTTATAATTGAGTTTGAGTTATATTAGGAGTCTATTATGTTAATTGATTCATTTTCCGTTTAAAAATAGTTGAATAGACCATGAATTGCGCTATTTACGTTACTGTATTCACAAATACATATCGTGAATACAGTCGAATACAATAATCTGTCTAGCTGTAATCCCCTGTTTCACGCCGTGAATATAGTCAAATACAGTCGAATACAATAATCTGTCTAACTGTAATCCTCTGTTTCACGTCGAGAAATGCTACTGTATTCATGAATACAGTAACTTAAATACATCGAATACACTCTAAAAAACCTGAAAACATAGCTGTAGGAAGTAATATAGTAAATGGTAGCTACAACTACCTAATAACCACTAAACAATAGTGGTTTGTAAAAATTTCTCTTAAAATAAAGGAAGACTCCAAAATGATCTTTTTCCGAAGCTGGACTTAAACCTTAATTTTTGGCTCTTACATGAAATGCCTATAACCTTAATCGACTTTTTAATGAATAAAGAAGATCGGCAGCCCAGTATATAAAGTATTTTGTATTCATGCAAGATCCGAGAAAAAATCGTATCCGTACAGGTATAGTGAAAATAGAAGATCGTACGGAAGAAAAGAACCCAATCAACGGATGCAAGTCAGAGGCGGATCCAGGATTTGAAGTTTATGGGTTCCTGTCGCAATCTCAAATTTATATACCATAATAACTGGGTTCATAGTTAGATATTTACAGATATTTAGTAATTTTTAGGGTCTATACAAAATTTAGTGAGTTCCTGAGAACTCATATACTATACTCTAGATACACGCCCCTGATGCAAGTAAAATAAATTACACTACTAAGGCCACTAAAGAGATAGTAGAAACTTTATATTTCTCCTCTCTGTCAATGTCCCTTTTTTATTTGATGTAGTATTAGTTTGTAATATTATTACTTTGTCAACTTAATTAACTTGAGGAATACAATTGTTTAAGATCATAAACAAAAGATTTCTGAAAAAGAATATTTTGGACTATGTGAAGATTCAGATGACATTATTAAAGAAAACCAACCAGATCCGATTTACTTTCTCCAAGAAATAAAAATTAATTTAAGTATATCCATTTTTTAAAATTAAAAAATTCCAGGTCCAATTGACTTTCTCCTAAATAAGTGGTGTTCTCGTGTTGAACGAGGCCTATAAATAAAGTGAGAAATTCAAAAATAGCCAGATTTACCACTAATAGTTGAAAAATAGTCAATTTTCAAAAGTCATCGAAATTTAGCCACTTTAAATTTGAGCGAAAACACTGTTCAAAATCCGGAAAAATACGCCCGCAAATTTTACGGGAGTTCCAGCATAAGTATGCTGGAACTCTCGTAAATTTTACGGGAGTTCAGGATAACTATGCTGGAACTCCCGTAAATTTTACGGGAGTTCAGGATAACTATGCTGGAACTCCCGCAAATTTTATGGGAGTTCAAGCATAATTATGCTGGAACTCCCGCAAATTTTACGGGAGTTCCAGCAAGTATAATTGTCCAGTATAATATACTGGAGTTTGGAGCACTGGTGCTCCAGTCTCCCGCAAATTTTACAGGAGTTAGCAAAGTATACCGGTCCAGCATAATATGCTGGAGTTCATACACAAATGCACCAGAACTCCCGTATATTATACTGGACCGGTCCTTGTTGCAACAAAATAGTGGCTATTTTTCATTGACTTGGTAAACGCTGGCTATTTTTCATTGACCAGTGTGAAAACTGGCTATACCATGATATTTTAACATAAATAAACCATCCTTATATTTACTCTTTGCATAATACACGCAACGCAACTTCCATTTGAATATCCCATTTCTCTGATCAATTCATTATTAGAAAGACTATAGTTTTTTCTTGAAAAACATTTACTCGCATTCAATATTTATATTATATAGTTTTTTATGATTAAGCTATAAATTAAGATTAATCAATATATATATATATATATA